GGGGGGGGGAAATTAATCCATTTACAATCATTTATATTTCCTTTGCAGTCATTATGCAGATGTAGATCCTGAAAACCAGAACTTTTTACTTGAATCGAATTTGGGGAAGAAGAAGTATGAAACAGACTTTGTAAGTTAAAAACAATCATTTGTATATCTGTGGCTTTATGGAGTAAAAGAATAGTTTTACTTTTAGATTTCAAATCTAACTTGCCCAAAGCTGGTTTTCTCCATTTAATTATTGTTATATGTTTGGTTATCGTTTTCCCTCTATGTAGCATCCAGGTACTACTTCCTTTGGAATGTCAGTATTTAATCTGAGCAATGCGATTGTGGGCAGTGGAATCCTTGGGCTTTCTTATGCCATGGCTAATACTGGAATTGCTCTTTTTATGTAAGTATGTGTAAGTAGTGAGTCTGCCATGCAGGGCAGTTACTATAATAAAACATTAATTGTGGCTGCAGGAACGGAATTGACAGTTGAAGTAGTTGATTTAAAGATCATTTGCTTAAAACTAAAAGTATGAGAAAACCCAACATCTTTTCATTCTGCTATATACTGCACAGTATCAAGAAAGCCATTTGGATGGGGGAAAATATAGCACAACATTTAAAACTGACAGATTAAGATAGAAGTCTTTAAGTCAATAGGAATACTTAAAGTAACATATGTTAGATGTTTAAAAAGAACTATTGATAAATTTAGGGTAATTATGAATTTTTTTGGACAAAATCAAAAGCCAAAAATGTGTGTGTGTGTGTGTGTGTGTATATACAGCCTCTAAGTTTGGTAAATTGACGGTCTCCCCAAGGACCTATGGTCCCTTGCATGCATAAGGAAAAGAAAACCCTTCTAAATACATGAGGTGTGGTGGTATTTACCTAGCCTGGAACATGTTTGTTTTAAGACAAGTGAGTCATAATTTTTCTGGACACTGAAAAGCAATCCATATGTGTGTTTTTCTGTGTGTTTTTCTGTGTTTTTTTTTTGTTTTTTTATGTTTGCTTTTTCCAGATCTGTGATTGCTGAGTGGTGTGGCAAGAAATGCATATTTTTATTATTACTTCCTTTTAAAATGTTTTTGTCTCTACTTGCCTAGTTTCTCCTGTGTTGCCTGATTTGAATACCTGGATAGAATTTTGGCAATACAGACATTCTGAGTGCAGTGGTGGTTAACTATTTTGGGGTCACTTTGTTGAACATGGAAAAATATGGACCTCTTTCCAGAAATAAAGCACAGAAGTGCTGTATTTTCCAGTGATGTTTGCGTTTGCCCATTAAGTTTAAGTACCTCTGTACTCCTGGCTAGGACAATTTCTGTGGAGTGTTGTGTGACTTAAAACTTTCATCATACAGATGAGCAAACGGTACTTACATAGTATGGAATTGTCCTTTTGTGACAGAGGTGTTTTAGTTAGCTGACTGGTGCCTTCTACTCAAGTTATTTTCTCCAGCACAATGGAATGTTCATGAAAAGAAAAGCAGACCAGTGCAAAGCTCTGTTTTGTGAAATTCCACACTGAAGTTAAGCCTGGCTTTGAGCGCTAGAAGGTTTCTGTCTGGCTTACTTCATTAGAATGAAGCTTTTTGAGACCTTACTAAGGTGAAGGACTAAGAATTTATATAGAAAGGATCTTAGAATTTTTAAGATTTTAGTGGGGAACTTCATTGGCATCACTGTTAAATATTTAAAACCCTTTTTAGCTCTTGGTATGAAAACAAGAGGCAGTTTAAAATTGCTGCTGGTGTAGTCACAGTGCTAAATTAGACACAGCAGAACTACTTTTTCATAAAGGAAAGCAAAATTCTGGTTTGTTACCTTTGTACTTTTGAGATTATGACTACTTTAGTAGATACTTACATATTTGACTATTAAGTCAAGATTACTAAAGTAAGTTTTCATTCATCAGTATTTACTTTAGAAGCAGAGGTAAATGGGCCACAGGCCACATGGCTGCCACGGTCTGCTGAAATAGCTCTGTATTTAACCTTTTTTAAAGTAAAATCAATCATGAGATTGAAAACAGCCTCAAAGGTTATGAAGTCCATTTGTTTTTCATTGTCTTTTAGTGTAAGAAAGACATGGAAGGGCTCAATTTTTAAAAATTGCTTTTAATTCAACTTCTTTTCCAGTTAGAGGTGAGGCTTATAATGTCACCTCAGACTAGATCTCATAAAACTTCTGGCATTAGAATGGTAACTCAGCGCCACTCTTATGCTTAACTAATAGACGTTAGTTTCTTTACCAGCACCTCACAGGATACTTGTGCAATTTGCCCAAACAGAATCAAAAAATACGTGACTGTCTTGTTTTCAGGTTTTCTTGTGGTCTCTGTTTTTTTTTATTTCTTTTCTTTTTTTTTTTAAACCCCTATCTTTTTGGCCTTGCCTGGGTGGAAAGAAAGTGGATCTGGGACAAGAAAGAACCCGTACTTGGGTTTTTCCTGTCACTTGGGAAAAACCAAGTGATGTTAGGATCCCTTTATTCCCTCTCTGTTACCCTATTTTTTTCCTGTTTAATCCAAGTAAGAGTTATGGGAGGCAACTGTTCACAGAGTTGGGCTGGTAGCCTACTTGTTCTAGCGCAGGCATTTAACTCTGTGACGTGCTGGCCCTGTGCTGACCCCCACCACGGGGTGTAGATGTAGTAAATCATCACAGTAGTTACTTCTGATTTGTGTCTGCTCGTTAGGAAAGTTTGTAGTGCCTGATGCTTAAAATATTAGCATCGTTTCCCCCTTCCCATTCCTGTCCTTATATATCTATATAGTCCATGTGGTCTCAGGACCTCCCCTAACTTATCTCAGTTGAATTTCACAAGAACCTTGTGGGCTGAGTTTAATGGTGAGTGTTAGCAACATTTTACAGATAAAGTGAACTCTTAACCACGTAGACAAGTGGCGAGCACACTGCTCATTATTACATGCCAAAACCAAAATGCAGGTCTCCTAATTCCATCCCTGGGAAGTTGGGCTTTCCAACTCCTCCTGCTGCATTGGGCTTAAGTGGGTACACCTGCTCTTAACCAATACTGTAGAACTTTCAACTGAGACAATGCAAGTTTTTAGTGTTGGGTGAGAGATGATGTTGGCACAACAGTTAGCAGGAGGTTTTAAAATGTGAGTTTCTTAGGAGCCTTTTGGCACAAATAGGACAAATTCCATATTTGATGTTATTTAACTGATGAAAAAGTTGTCTTTAAATATAGCTGTTCTTGATTATAACCCTGCACCTTTTGCTTCTTTTATCAGAATTCTCTTGTCATTTGTGTCAATATTTTCCCTGTATTCTGTTCATCTCCTTTTGAAGACTGCCAATGAAGGAGGTACAGTATCATTCTTAATTTTCTAGGACCATTATTATACCTGTCACGATGTTCTACAGAGTTCATGCCTCATGCTTCTGTGTTCTTCAAATTGTAGGGTCTTTATTATATGAACAGTTGGGACATAAGGCATTTGGATTGGTTGGAAAGCTTGCAGCCTCTGGATCAATTACAATGCAGAACATTGGAGGTAAGAGTTTTTCAAAAGACAACTTGGGTAGACGTTTTGCTCATTGTGTAGCAGAGTAGTGGTGACACATGAGTTTAGTGTCACGGGCCACATTTTGCGCTTGTAATGGTATAATTTTGTTTTCCTCCAGCTATGTCAAGCTACCTCTTCATAGTGAAATATGAGTTACCTTTGGTGATCCAGGCATTAATGAACATTGAAGATACAACTGGGTAGGTGCTAAGTAAGGTTACTCATAAAAAACAATTACAGTCTAAAATGGTTAGATACATTTTATCAAAGTTGGATACAAAATGATTATCACTAAGTTACCAATAAGCATTTCCATTGACACCAACCAAGAAGTTCTCTGTAAACCAGTTTGAACTTTCGAGTGCTATAGGCCCAGGATAGTAGCTAGCCCTGTAAAACTCCAGATAGCGTATTTCTAACCTGTGTGGGAACAGGTTTCCTGAAATCTGCTTTTTCTCTTACATTTAAGAAGTTACAGCAGTTGAACATGTGCCCTAACTAACCTAAGTTGGTCTGAAGCCTTTAATTACATTTAAAAGTTTGAAATCGTTAAAACTTAATCTTTTTCATGGAATACCAGAAAAGGTATAGCCATGCTGTGGAAACCTTACTCTTGATAACAAAGTTTTCATCCCAGTGGACTAACAGGTTTTTATCTAAAGTAAACATGAGAGGGACAATTGACTTCCCAACTTACATGCGGCTCCTTACTTAAAGATACAGAGGTGTGCCATCTCTGGTGTGGCCTTAGAAATTTTAATTTGATAAGCTAGTCTTTAAACATCAGTTTTCTGTGAGTCCTCATTGTTGAAGTTGACTGAGCGGAATTCACAGGGCAGTTAAAATTTGAAAATAGCGACTTAAAGAAGGTAATGGTTCATGAGCACCTGAAAAGGAAACAACATGGTACTAAAACTCCTAAGGGACATACATGACATTTTCTGTAAGTTCAAAAGGGATCTTTTGAATTTTTGGAGTCCAGGTGGGTCACGGCATCAACATCTTTTGACAACCTGAAATAAGTCCTGGTTCATGGGATTGAGTTTTGTAAATTTCTGGGTTTGCCTTTACCTTTTATCTAAGGGTGGCAAAGTGTCCTTGTTGAAATGTTTAATAAATGTATTTGCTAACAAATGTCTAAAAAAAAAACCACTTGTTTTAGAATTTCCTTGTTTTCAGCATTAGAAATTGCAAACTAAAGCTATAACACATTTAGCTGCAGCTTTTCTAAAAGTACTTAAAGATAAGATTACTGGCTTGACAAAGCTGCTTTGTTCCCTACCTTAGTATCAAGTCTTTAAGAAGCATTTTATGTTAGGAATCGCTTGGCTGCCTTCCCAGAGCAGAGTGGGACAAAAGTTACCCTGTTTCATACTCCGATTTTGACCTGAGTGAATACTCATCTAACATACAAAGTTAAAAAGTTACTCCTGTTCTGAATAAGAGATACTTTTTAGAAACCTGTCTTTTGTGTGTGTGTTTACTTTGATAGAATGAGCCTCCTTATAAAATGTGTATGTTATTGTGAGGATATTAGAACTTTGATTTTCTCTTCTTTAATTCAGGTTGTGGTATCTGAACGGTGACTATTTGGTTCTGCTGGTATCCTTGATGCCCATTCTTCCTTTATCACTGCTGAGAAATTTAGGTGAGCAAAACCCATTTTTGAAGAAAATTGAAATGAATCTTTTACTAGCTGGTGATTTCCTCTTAATAGAAATTAATTAGAGCCAAAAGCCCTAAAAACATGCCTTCAGAAGTTGTAGCATGCATACCTGTAGTTCTTCTAAAATTCTAGCAAGATTGTTACCAAGGGACCACAATATTTCATTGATATTTTTATTAAAATTTATTTATCTTATTGCATTGTAAGTAATGCAAAATGATAGTTTTTATTATTTTGTTCATTACAGGTATATTTCAATCTATTATGTAGTTTAGTATACAGTATTCAAAAAGTTCATAGAAAATGTATACTTTAAAAAGTGCATGGATTTTGAATTCTTCTACACCAAAATAAATTCGTACTTTAATTCCATTTTCCTACAATCTTTTTGAATACTAATAAGTACTAGAAGTTTAATACTATACCTACGCTTAATGCCTGTGAAATTGAGTTACTCTGAGGAGAAAATAATTGGCTTTGAATCCATTTTATTAAACTAACAAAGATTTTTCCCCCTCCACTTTTTATAGGATATTTGGGTTATACCAGTGGCCTTTCCTTACTGTGTATGATGTTCTTTCTGATTGTGGTAGGTATAATTTTTTTTAGAAGGTAGTTTTTATAAGCCCTGTCATATCATTCATTTTGATATAACATGCATCATAATATATTTTCAGGTAATTTGCAAGAAATTTCAAATTCCTTGTCCTATGGAAGTTGCTTTCCTGATCAATGAAACGATGAATGGCACCTTAACACAGCCAACAGCTTTTGCATCTGATTCGACATTTAACATGACTGGAGATGATTCTTGCAGACCGCGTTATTTTATCTTCAACTCACAGGTAACTAAATAAAATGGTTATTTTCCTTAAGGAAGATGTCAGGGAAGACAAGAGGAAACTTTACTGGAAATTTTTAAATAACTCCCAGCATAAAGGGAAAAGGAATAACGGATACTTTTTAGGAAACATATGATTAGCTAATTATTGAAGAAAGTGTTGATTTATCTGTTAAAATAGAAACATATGATTAGCTAATTATTGAAGAAAGTGATTTATATCTTAAAATAGGTTGAGAAATGGAGTAATTATGTGGTGTAAATAATTGACATTCAGGAGTTAGGATGTTGATCACACTTGCTGAGCAGGTTAGAAGAATGGAAGCTAATTATGCAAAGGAAATTCGTTGTTTTGAGCTTTGATCTTAACATTCGTTATGTAAAATAGAAGCTGCAGAGCTGTGACAACACATGCGGTTTAGATACTAAGTTGGTTTTTACCCTGTTTTCAGACTGTCTATGCTGTGCCGATCCTGACCTTTTCATTTGTCTGTCACCCTGCTATTCTTCCAATCTATGAAGAGCTGAAAGGGTGAGTACTTGATTGTGTAAATTGATTGGGAAAATGTTAGACTACTGTTATCACAGCTTCTAAAATATATACTTATATTTTCTTAATAGCCGCAGCCGTAAAAGAATGATGAATGTGTCCAAGATTTCATTTTTTGCCATGTTTCTCATGTATCTGCTTGCAGCCCTCTTTGGATACCTAACGTTTTACAGTAAGTAATGCTTAACTGGGGCGTATTTACATGCACACATATTTATTGAAATTAAACTGACCCTTTTATATATATAGATGGGGATCCATCACTTAAAAAAATTTGTTATTGCCAGTATGTGATGAGAAATCAAATATGTGGCTTAGAATTTCTGTTTTATCAGTAATTTCTAGAATCTAGGCTTGGAAACATTGTGAGTTATTTGATGGTGTGTTTATATAGTATGGTTGCTTCTGACTTCATCCTTCTGTCTTTTCCCATCATATTCACTAACTGTAAGCCAAACCATGGGATTTAGCTGTTTAGCTCCTGTTGTTTTTTAATAAGGTTCCTGTGGCTAAATCTCTACTTGGTATTTAGAAAAATTTCCCTTCAATGTCATTTTAATTGCATTAACAATAATTCCAAATTAATCTTATTAGCCTCTTAGTTTATAGTCAGTTTGTGTGTTGGTAATAACTACTCATAGTACAGATTTCACTGGTAGATTTTCTTCTTCATTGCCAGGAAAAAAGATCACACTTAATACTTTTTTGGTCTTTCCTCATAGAAAACGTTGAGTCAGAATTGCTTCATACCTACTCTACTGTCCTGGGAACTGATATTCTTCTTCTCATTGTCCGTTTGGCTGTGTTAATGGCTGTCGTCCTGACAGTACCAGTAGTTATTTTCCCAGTAAGTAATCACTTGCCTGCTTTCAGTAGGAATGAGCCCTTTTTAAGTGTGTGAGGATTTGTGAGATTTTCCAGCTTCTGGAAGAATGGAAACATTAGGAGGGTAATAAATACCAAATTGTTGGGGGTTTTGAAGGGGCTTTTTTGTACATTTTTAAAACAACCTGGAGTGTATGTTTCATAATTGAAGATAAATAGAATGATCTTTAAGTATTCCAGTGTACAGAAAACAACAACAGAAGGGGACACAGTTATACTTTAGAAATAGTTTGGGTTTAGACATATTCTACCTGGAGATTCTTTTTATTTTTTACAGATCCGGAGTTCTGTAACTCACTTGTTGTGTTCATCAAAAGATTTCAGTTGGTGGCGTCATAGTCTCATTACAGTGTCGATCTTGGCATTTACCAATTTGCTTGTTATTTTCGTACCAACTATTCGGGATATCTTTGGCTTCATTGGTAAGTTTTAGAAAGTATCAAAGTTGATCCAAATGCCAGGGACTTGAAAAAAATGAATGACAAATGATTCATTTACATTCTCAAAAATGATTAAATGTTCTTTTACAGGTGCATCTGCTGCTGCTATGTTGATTTTTATTCTTCCATCTGCCTTCTATATCAAGTTAGTGAAGAAAGAACCTATGAAATCTATACAGAAAATTGGGGTGAGTCAGTGATTATGATTGTAGGAATAATAATGACCTTTTCATGTCAGAAATTCCCTCAGCTGATTTTAGTTTGTCTCCTAGGAATTACTTTTAGTTTCTAATAAACATTTCTAATAATGGTGTATTCCCCAGATAGAAGAATGGGAAGAGGGGATAAAATATAGTTTACCATCACTTAAGTTAATTGCGAGAAAGTTATGAAGTACTTGAAAAATAGAAATAGAGATGAAGAGTGGTATGAAGATACTGACCCAACTTTAAACATTGGTTTACCCAGTCATACTGCTTTGCACTGGACACTTAAATGTCACTGAGTATGTAGAAGAAAAAAAAATGGGTGTTCAGTTGAATGAGACTGTCTTCAAAGCAAACTTGGGAGGCCTTTCTCCATAGTGTTCATTATTGTGTACTGTTACTCCAAAGTGATAAGAACTGATTACAGAGTATGATATGCTAACCACAAATTAATTCTGGTACCAGAATCCTGGTGGAGATAGGAAAAAGATTGCTTTTCAGTTGCTATTTTTCACTGCCATTGTAGTCTGATTAACTTAACTTTAGTTATAAACCAACACATCTCATCTTGCTTTACTCAAAAGTTAACAAGTGGCAGTAGTTAAAGGGTAAGATTAGGAGTAACTCTAGACTTCTGGCTTTGGCTCAGGCTACATTTAGATTACTTGAGTTTGATTTTGTGACATCATTTCTGCGCTAAAAAAAAAAAAAAAAACTACCAAAAATCCCGTCTACCTCTATTGAAGTGGTTTATTCAGCAAGAAAATTCCCTTTCATTTGAGACAAAAGAATGAAAAAGTGAAAGTTCAGAAGGCTTCAAAGGTCGTTTTTTATTATGAATCCTTGAGTTAAACAGTTTACACTAGCAAGATAAAACTGTATTTTGTAGGGTATTATGTAATAGATGTAACTTTAGTAATTAGCCCATTCTAAAAAGTAGAAAGAGGAATGCTTAGCATATTGTCTCTGCTCCTGGCTAATCAGTTTTCTCTTTGTACTCATTGCAGGCAATGTTCTTCCTATTCTGTGGCGTAGTGGTGATGACTGGAAGCATGGCCTTGATTGTTTTGGATTGGGTACACAATGCCCCTGGAGGTGGTCATTAATTAACTGGCACCACTCAAACTGGGATAATCCATCTGATGCCAGTGTTGAGTCAACACTCAGCTACTATGAAATTTCACCTAATGTTTTCAGTTTCACTTCCTTTTGAAGTGCAGATTCCTCGCTGGTTCTTCTGAGTGCAGAATAAGTGAACTTTTTTTAAAATTTTTTTTAAAGGTTTTTTTTTTTTTCTAAAGAAACTTATCTGTATGTTAGAAATGGATTTTAACAACAAAACCACGAGTCTCGGGTTAAGGGAAGTGACAATTTTATTCCATTCCAGAGAATGGACGAACTCTTAACTTTTATCAAGCCACATGTTTGGCTGTGTCATTGTTTAACTTGGATATTTTATGATTTTACTTGAATGTGCCTAATGGAACCATTCGATGTGAGAAATAATTCTTAATTTACAGCAGAGTATTGAAATAACCATTGAGAAAAAAACACTATTATTTTTTGTACCAAAAATACTTAAAGACCTCAGAAGCACTATTTTACTTTTAAGAAATTGCTTTTTTTGAACTTTATCCAGAAATGGTTGTCAATAAATACCGAAAAATAATTTCATTGATATTTAAAAGTGAATATTAGTATTATGAAATGATTTGCCTTTTTGTAGGCATAGTAAGCCAAATACTTTTTTACCCAAAATAATTTTTAGAGAAAATGGTGTGATAAAAAGTTGTACCATGAATTAGGAGCATAGTTTTCCCATTCTAACTTCACCATTACTTACAAGATAATTGATAATTGCTGTACCAAATCAGATGAACCGATTTCATCACTGTTCTTCTCTGTCCCAAATAATTTGGTTCATTCAGACTGAAATGTTTATGTCTTCAACCAGTTAGAATGGAAGATAATGCAGATACTTCTGTGGGAAATAAAGTAACTAATTTTGAGGTACCAAATAGTGCAATTGGGTAAAACAGGGTTTATTCAGTTGCATCTGTCTCCAGAGTTGTGTTGACAGCTCTGGGCTTTTGGGGCCAGCCCTTTTTTGACATTGCTTCCAGCAGTGGAAAATGGGCATTTGATGGCGATAGGCCAAAACTATTCTATCCAGAGAGTACAGCCTCAAAATGCTCATCTACTGGAAGTGTGAATTACTTGACAATGTATGGCTTCGTCGTGTTCATGTTCTGTCTATAGTAGAGATCTAATCCCCTGATTACTCCAATATTTGGTATAATATAGTTCTCTTCATACAGGCCACTGGGTTTCTCATGCAGTAAGCATGTAAAACTCATTTGCACTGGATTGTCATCTCATTCTTGTACAACATAGAATTATTTGTTTACATCCAACAAATGGTTAGCTAGGGAAAACAGTGCAAACTGAGTGTAAGTAGTCGTTTGGTCCAACTGCATGTTCACCCTTCCATTTTAATCCCAGTTAGAAGTGAAAACATTACTTTGAAACTTGGCTTTAAGAGCACATTTATTGTACGTTATGGTGTATGGTGAATATATTATTAAATAATGTGGTACTTTGCTCATCAGGCATAATGTCTAAAATCTAATATACATAATTCCATTAAGTGGTTGAGGGAAGCAAATAATGGAATCATCAACTGGTTATTGGCTCTAAGGTTTTCTCTTAAAGAAAACATTTTTAGTTTTAGGCAAGGGCCAGAAATGTGGCAGACATGGTTTTTGTTACACATTCTTGTATTATATGTGACTAAATGTACAGACCACATGTCTGTAATTAAGACCCTTACAGAACTGGAAGACGTCTTGTAGTACTACCTTAGGTGAAAACAACGAATTAATGGTCCTTTTTTGGGTTTGATTGTTTCTACGAAGATAAAATAATTGGGGACCATGTAGAAAATAGGCAGTGAGAAGATGGAGTCTACAGCACTGCTTTCATTTAATTGGGCTTTGGGCACTCCATGCAAATCCAGAACCTCACCTCTCGTCCAGACCAAGAATTGGCTTCTCCACTTGAATTCCTGGGAAGGAGTTGCTGATTTTGTATCTGAGACCTGCCAGGAAATACCAAGTAAAGAGTTGTTTCCTACAGTTCGTGACCTTCACTGGGAGAAAATACCATGGTAACCAAGAAGAAATGGGAAAAAAATCTCACAGCACATCCATGTGGGAAGGCTTCTCCAATCTTCTTTGGCTATTTGAGTTTTAAAATCAACTGCTAGGATAGGAATCCAGTGCATGATTTTCTTGGAGCTATCTTGTCTGCCTTGAGGTTCCTAAACAGTGAATTCCCATTAATGAGCAGTCTTCAGTATTACAACCACTGTCTCGTCACCTCATTTTGCATTACTGTCTTCCGTGGATGTTTCAGTTAAATTGTAATGTTATTTATAGAACAACATTAATCCATTAAAGCTAACCTATTTTTCAATATTTATGATAATCTATGTACATACATTGTCCATATGTGTCTGTAAATAGGTTGTATATAATGTCAGGTTTGGGTCTTGGGTTCAAGTGTATATAATCTTGTAAGTTTCTTAACTGCATTTTGATGAGTTCACATTATATATCTATGAAAAGTGTTCCAAAACATCCTGTACAGAGAATTAAATATAAAATATTGACAAATTGTGTACAAACACTGAGAGAACTAAAATACTTACTTAAATTGTATTTGCAATAAACGGGTTGGACATACTTTTTTTTTTTTTTCACAAAAACTTGGTGCAAATTTAGATCTCATAAATTTTAAATAAGGTCTAAATTTTCAAAATGCAGTCCTTATCAAAATGTGATCTAGTGTAATGAAGTCAAATGTGATTGAGTGTAATGAAAGACCTAGGAAAACCTGAATGGGTGTGGGTGTATATAGTGTAAATATCCCCACTGTACTGTTAGAGGCCAACAGTTGCAATATGGCTTGTTGGCAAAGAGTGCTACACCGTTTCAATGAAACAATGTATGTTTGTTTTAACTGAACTAAAATAAATACATGCTTAATCCTGACTAGTAGTGGATTTTTTTTTGTTTTTTTGAAGCAATGGGATATATAGTGTCAGATGTATTTTCTAAGTAACAGTACCTGACTCTTAGTAGGTGTCCATGGTAGTGATTAACAGTGATGAAAAAGGTAAGAGTATTTTACTTGCACCTTCCTAAATGTTCTAAATGAGAACAGAGGGTTTGGGGAATAATGTACTAAGCGGCATCTCAAGGACCCACAATTGGTCCTGTTGATGGGAATCGGGCCAATAGTTCATCAGAATCGAAGGGCAGTTTAGAACAGCTTTCTGAAGCATGTGCCTATGTACTCCACGTAAGTGGAGTGAAGCCTAGGATCTGGTGTTCATGTTCAGAAAGCTACCCAGGTGGTTCTGACGTAGTTACAATTAGTGAGGACTGAAATAGACCTGGAAAGAAGTTGAATGCTAGCAGCCTGGAGGTTAAGGTGGCTGGATCCCACGTAGGATATCACGCAGTTTGAATCCGGACTTGGTGGCTTGAAAAAACCACCAGGTGCGTGCAAACACACCTGTGTGCTCAGTATCCTGAAAGGAGGGGAAAGTGGAGAAGGGCTTGCAATGTCATTACCATAAAGAGTGTGTTTTCCCTCCCCATCCCCCATCTTTGTCCAGGAAAAACATACCAAAAAAACAAACAAAAAAACCCAGTAATACAACAAACTCATTTGCTTTAGATTTTCTTTAATTTTTATGCAGAAAACCGAACTTCTATGACTTTTCCCCATCTCAGTGGATTATATAGTCTTAGTCACATTTTTTTTCTGATTGCGCCCCCATGTGATGCATGAGTGTAGGAGCTGCTATTTTTCTTTTCATTCATTTATTCCCAGCACTCACAATAGTGTCTAGTAAACAGTCAATAGGTACTCAATATAGTTGTTGAGTGAATCAACATGCCTTTATTCCCTATCGTATAGTTGAAGTGAGGCTAAAAAATTTTAAGCAAGATTTTACTACTTTCAAAATAGAACACACACCATGAAATTAGACATTTTGACCAATAGTGAGATATAGTTTACTCATCTTCAGCCAGAGATCGGAAAGTCTCTTGCCTCGTCCATGATCTGCCTCTAGGTGGCAAAAGCCATCTCTAAGCTCTGCCACATAAGTGATTTTTGTGGCAGTGAAATAACTTTTCTCAAGTCCTAGACAGACTTGGTTGTTTCCACATATTATAAGGAAGGATTAACGCAGCAAGTCCGGTTGCCTTCTCCTATTCCTTTAAGAGAATCATGAGTGACCCTTGACCAATTCTTGGGAAAGTGACCCTCGGAATATTCTTTGTTAGTGACTGATGATTTTGTGATACTCATTCACCTGGAGCAATGAACCATGCTGTACTGGTTTGTCAGGCTGCTTTGCACACACACCAAGATAAATGATAGGTACTTGTTTTCCATTGTTGGGCCTTGATATTTGGTGGCAAGGCTGTGTGCCTCTGTGACTAGTCCCAACATAAAAGCTTTGGACCTTGAGATTTATGTGGGCTTCCCTGGACAGAGTTCACATATGTCCCCATAGTTTACAGCCAGAAAAAGAGCATTCTCATATGGCCTCAGACAAGGTTGGTCTTAGAAGCCTGTTCTGGTCTTCTTTGGACTCCACTGTGGCATATCTTTGTCCTTTTCATTTTGTTCTGTGTTTTTTTTTATTATTATTATTTCTTTATTTTTCTGTAATGAATCTTAGTAGTGACTGCTACCCGCTGTTGCATCTTGGGGATCTTTAAGATGGATCAGCAAATGAAACATGTAGTCTGTTTTTTCTCTATACCATTGGTTTACAAACTCTGGTGTCTCTCAGCTTAAGGAAGATTCTATTCTCAGTGAAGCCCAATAACATTATTTAATAGCAAGTTTTACTAAATAATGTCTGGGAATCTGGAGGGTTAGATAGCAAAGGAGGGTTTTCCATTGCATACCCCACTACATGCAATTATGTACAACCCCATTTGATATTACCTCTCAAGTCCCTCTCTCTGTGTTGTGAATTGAAGATTCTTTTTGCCCTTTTCCTGATGCCATCCATGGCCTGTCTTTGATTCTCATGAGGAGCTCACCTCTACTTTTGAACCTCCCTACTATATCATCTTTCTGAGATGACAGTTTAATATATATATATATACATACACACACACACATATATGTATAAAAGAGATTTTTTGCTACAGGGTGTGTGTGCTCATCAGAAAGACAGAAAGCAAGAAATCACTTCCTGGGGGCATGGCCACACTACAATTTCTTCTCCATTCTCCTCTTGGGATCTTAAATATGCATGCACACACACCCAGCGTGAGTTTCAAGCCACCAGGTCTGGTACTCTAACCAGTGAGAAAGCAAGCTGCCAGGTCCAGGACTCAGACCTCGGTCAGTCATGTGGGAGTCCAACACCCTTAACCACCATGCCACTTGCCAGCCCCTCAAAATATATTTTTATTTCCATCCTGTTTTCCTATCCTTTCTAAATGATTTATCTAAGTAATTTTTCTGACCACTTACTTTCCCTGAAATGAATTCTGGTAAATTCAACTTTCTCATCTGATTACATTAAAATATCCAAAATAAGGACCAGTGGTCATGATGGTTACATCACTGGACTCCCACGTGGTCAACCATGGTTTGAGTCTCAGGCCCAGTGGCTTAAGACTTGCCAGTTGTGTGCGTGCCAAAAATCTCAAGAGGAGACTGGAGGAGAAGGGATTGTGGCATGGCCATACCCCGAGGGGGTGATTACTCGCTGTCTCTCTGTCTCTCCAGCAAGCACATGCACCCTATAGCAAAAATCTCTCTCTCTAAATATATATATATACATATGTATATATATCCAAAATAGAGACCAATCTGTAGAGAGAAATATAACTATGCTGGTTGTAATAGGGTCATGGGTAAGGTCTAGATCCTTCAGGCTCAGCCTCCCAACCTCCTTCCACCAGCTCCACCCTTCTATTATAGCCCACAAAGTGCTGCCTTACCCTAGAGCCCTACAGGATGTGGTTTGAAAAACATGGTTCTAAATTCTTTCATTCTGAAAGGCCAGCCCCATAGTCTAGTGGTTAAGGGAGTTGGATCCCACATGGCTGACTGAGGTTTTAGAATCCTTCATCCAGTGACTTAAAAAACATGAGAATGTGTACTCATGTCCAAAACCCCCACAAGATGAAGAAATGGAGGAGAAGGGATTCCAGCATGACCACATCCCATTGAGGGTGCTTTCTTTGTCTCTCTCTGGTTCTAGCAATTGAATAGAAAGATAGGTAAAGATTAAATTCTTTCAGGAGAATGAGCCTCTAAGACAATCAGAATCCTGCCAGCTCAAAGCTCATCTACTGAGACCCCATTTTCTGGGAAGTGCCTCTCTCTGTCATTATGGACAAGATGGTGGCCTTAGCTTCCTGTCTACAACCCAATTTTTTAATCTCAGCACAACTCAATAAGCTCAAGATTGGCATGAAGTTCACCCAGAGGCCAGGTCTCCTTGTCTTTGAATGTGGCTCATCTCCTTCCAGGTATCTAAGGCAGAGCAGGTGAATAAATTAAAGTGGAAAAAGAGACACCGATGTCACATAATCCATCTCCTCTTCACTAGTCAACAAGGATGTCATTGCTAAGAATTGTCCTTGGTTTTCCAAAGAAATCCTAATCCTTTTAAATAGGTAAGGAAGATATAAAGAAAATGTATTGGTGTTCAGTCAGACTAGCTCTGAAGTTATTTAATTAAGAGAAAAGATCTTAAACAAGTCCTCTGAACCTGCCTGTTTCTCAGGCATTTGGTGAATTAATCCTAGATTCTAAACATAGAACTTAAACTTCCAAAGTTATTGTAGATCTTTACTGAAAATGGAGCAATATTGTACACCAATATCATTTTGTAAAGTGACATATCTGGTCAATAGGCAATGACAGAAACCAAATATATGGAAGATGCCAATTTAAAGATACAGTTCAGTGATCAGCAGGTGGAGTGGTGGTTAAGGTGCTGAACTCCCACACACTCACCCCAGTTCAAGACCCAGGCTGGCAGCTTGAAAATCATGCCAGGCACGTGTGCATGCTTGCCCAAAATTCCAGGAGAACGGAAAAATGGGATTGCAGTGTGGCCCTCTGTCTTTCTCTCTCTCTCTCCAGTGAGCACATGGGTCCTATGGCAAAACAAACAAACAGAAAGGATACAGTTCCAACAAGCAGCTATTTATTTTTCCTCAGAAGAAGAAAAGTGCCCTTAAGTTTGGGTAAATCATAAAATTTCTTCTAAAATCTACAGTTTACTATATCTTATTATGAAATAATATTATGTTCCAAGTCAAACATAAGCTGTATTTCTTATTTCCTTTCATTTTCTTTGTATTTCCCTTTAAAGTGAAATTCTCAGGAGATGTGGGTTCACAACCCTGCTCCAGATAGAGGAACTATATTTTTAAACTTATCCCTAAATAGAAAGATCCAAAGAAGGAAATATGTGGAATATGAAAATCTCTTCTCGAAATGCATGAGAGCCTCATAAATTTGGAAACATTCTTCTCTCATAAGCCCCAAAAGAAATACACTCAGAAGATTCTGATTCTCAATAAGCTACTGCAGATTTTGCTCTGTCTATAAAAGAATAGTTAATAATCAGCAATGCCAGTAATTGCTCTGCACTAGTCACTATGCCACAGTGTTTCTGGAAAGCTTTCCTGGTCTCGAGTAAAGACAATGACCCTGTAGTTGTGCAGAGGTGAGTTTAACCTCTGGTTTTCCATTTCTAGATGTGTGATCTCCAGCAAGTTCATTAACCTGCTCATGCCTCTATCAGCTTACTTTGCAATGAAATTTAGCATAACTCAGGGTGATATTTGTGTACATGCCCCTATGGTTTCAGGTATGGTCAGAGGGATATCAAAATCATCAAAGATAATTTGGATATTGCCAAGGACTTGTTTAAAAATGTTTTCAAGTCTAACCAAGAACTCCGACATTTGGAAATAGATGAAAAGATGTTAATTTT